CTTAAAATTATGAATTTTAGAAACATCTCACAGCTTCCATACTAACATCAGTAATTTTTTTATATGTTTTTAGCTTTTACATGCAAAATATTAATTTATTATATTGTTACTACAACTTTTATAATAATTATTATGACATTTTCAACTATTTGATAAATATTTAATTTTGATCTAATTTTACAAATGAAATATTTAACAGAAAAAATTTGCTAAATTTAAATATCTAATAGATGTAACGTTCTACGTTGAAATATTTAATAGATCAAAGTAAAAATAAAGTATGTCATAAATTTTTTTGTTTTATGTAAATAACAAGGATGATTTGGTAAATTTAATTCTATTAAACCCAACCCATCATGTGAACATGCAAGGATCATGTTGACCATATCTGTTTTGATGAAAACCTTAATCAATTTACAATCAATTACGTGACCAATTGGACAATGCTAACTTATGGAATTCTTCTATTTGATTTTCTCATATTTACAAAATCAAAATCAATCAATTTCATTTTTGGACCATTTTGCAGCGGTTAACCGCACCTTCCGTGCCATTTAATTGATGTTAAATCACTATATATGTAGTCTAAATTGACTCATTATTTTAATTTTTTACCTCTCATTTTTATATATTTACTCTAGGGAAAATTTTTTTTTTAATCTGCCAGTCACAACTATGCATTCTTCTTATGATATCAAATGTATATTTTCGGAGAAAGTATGAATTTTATGTAACCAATATTTGAATAGTATATAATTAATAATTAAAAATAGTTATTCAATTTAAAAAATAAATTTAGCAGTCGTTTCAATTGATGGAATTTGAATAATAAAATTTAAATATTTAATTAATTTATTAAATTCATTTGTTTAGTAGAAAAAAAAAGTTAAAATCCATAGAATTAATAAATTTTACCGTGGTTTCCGTTCAATAAGTTTGAAAGAGAAAGAAATCTAAACTTATAAGTTGAATTTTATCAATTCCATCGGTTTTTATTATTGATAGAATTTGCGACTCTTACTACTATTTTAAAAATAGTTTTCATATGCATAGATTTTTTTTTTTTTTTTTTTTTAAGGAAATAATTGGATGTGAAATTCTATGGATTCTATGGATTTCACCTTCCATTAATTCAAATGAGCACTTCATAGCATTGTCAATTAAGCAGTAAAAGTCAAATCATCTCATCTAATCATTGACTTCTCTTTTTCCCTCTCTTCTTCTTTTTTATGTGAACCTTGGAATTTGGGACTTGAAAGATAAAAGAGAAGAGTCGTTAGAATTTGAATTTGAAATCGTTAGTCCAACTCCATATATAGTCAAAATTTCTAATGTTATGGAAAAGGCCGACACTAATGGCGAATTTGTTTATGGGCTCATTTCAATTTCAAATTGGGCTTTCAAAATTGTTTACGGCCTTTGGGTTTCTGAAAGTTTGACAAGCCCAAGTCACACGACCATTATTATTCTCTAATATTTCATATTTCCGGTTTGACAAGCCCAATGCACTTAAAATAGAGCTTTAAATTAATATTATTGTTATATTGAATATATATATATATTTTTTTTTTCACTCCAAAAAGTTTGTTTATGCTATAAGTAAAAAATTCGTGAAAAGTTTGTAAAAGATAATATACGAATTATTAAAAATTATATTAGATAGAATTTGAGAAATCTAGAATATCAAATTAATATTAAAGTATATAAATAATTTTGAGAGTTTAATACGGAGCAAAAGTATAATTGACCAAAAGTTTAATAGTTTTAAAATGATTTTTTTTCCTGCTAATTATAATTGCAAAATTTATTTTATTATATGTACATGAAATAGATCTGCAATGCATTCATAAAATAATTTACTATTAAATAGAAAAAGAAATATGGAGGCTAAACCTAGCCATCTCTCGCTCTCTCTTTTTTGGTATTCTTTTAGATTTTGTTTTTTAATCACAGCCAAACGTCTTCTTTAGTCAGCGGTGGTTTCTCTTCGTCACTTTCTATCATTTTCTTTATTTTAATTAGCTTTCTTTTTAATAATTTCTAAATTTATGACTGTTTTAAATAAAATTTGAATTTAGTCTTTTAAATTTGTAATAGTTTACAGATCTTGAGTGTTTTTGATACCCTTTTAGTGGAATTATGAATTTCTCTTCTTTTATTAGGTTGTGAGAATTTTGATGTGGACTTTTATTTCTCTAGTAGTTCGAAATACAAAATAGATTATTGGTTGCTTGTGGTTGAAGACTTCAGATCTTTAGGTTCAAGTAAATTTCTTTTACTAATCGAATCTAGTAGTGCAGCTTGTTCCTCGGATAAAGTTTAATATATTAAACTTTTATTTTGATGTGAGTTGTACCAAGTTTTCAAAAAAATAATATTCAGGTCAATATTGTGGAAAATTTGTTTAATGTCCTATTTGAAAATGGATCAGTGTTTACCTGAAAGATTAACTTCTTCTGACAATATCATCTCCAAACAAAAAATTCCAATTTTCTATATTTATATTTCTTATTCATTTATAAATATTATGATATACTTAGCTTATATTCATTATTAAAAATTTATAATTAATAACATAAAGTTTTGAAGCAAAAAGAAATTTTAATTTAATAAAATATTTTTTTAAAAAAATTAATAAAAACTAGACATTAAGTAAATGAAATATAGTAACAATTAAAAAGAAAATGTAATTTTATACGAACAAAATACTTTTCTAGAAAAAATTAATAAAAATGGATACTGAGTAAAAGAAAATATAGTAATAATTCAACAATGTAGGCTCCATTTATTTCTAGAAAATTACTTACATTTGGAAAATATTTTCAAGAAAAATGTTTTCCTTAAAAAATATTTCTCAAATGACTTATTTTTTGTTGTTTGGTTGTAATATAGAAAATTAGTTAAAATATATTAAAATCTTTAACTCATGTGACCATAAAAATATATAGAATTTCATATTTTAAAATTTTATTGTTAAATATGAAAAGAATATAAAAAATTAGTAAATTATGAAAATTGCTAGTGACTGATGGTGGTGGCCGACAGTGGCTTGTGGCTAGTGGTGATGGCTGATGGTGAATAATGACTAGTAATAGTAGTTTCTGGTGATTAATAAATTAAAAATATGCATTTATAAGGTTATAATAAGTTTATCAATATATGAAAAATATTTTCCTCTCCTAAAAATAAGAAGTAATTTTTCTTAAAAATAACTTAGTTTTTTTTACCAAAAAATATTTTCCATTAACTTGCTTTCATAAATGCTAAAAAAATGATAAATTATGAAAAATATTTTTTTTATATATTATTTTACGAAAACAAACATAGTTACATTGATTCTCTAATCGACTTCTTTGTCGTTGTATATACTAAATAAATACCTAGATTTAAAGAACAGAGAAAGGCAATATCACCTTATTAATTTTATATACCGAATAAATACACACTGAACCATTTATTTTAGTTATTTTTTAATGCACTAATTCGTTTAGTTTCAGTATGCGAATATTGGCCAAATAATTAGCCTAAAAACATTTAATAATTAAAACCAAAAAGTAAAATCACCCTAATTAATTAAAATTCTATGGTACATAGTCAAAGATAATTTCCATATTATTCTTGGAGTAATATTTTATTTACCAAATAAATATTGCTCTTGGGATGTTTGTAAACAGGATTTTGAAATTCATTGAATTCATTAAAATTCAAGAAACAAGAAACCTAAATTTTTAATTTCATAAAATTGTACAATTATCATCATTTATTATAATCATTAAACTCCTGAAATTTAAAATATCTTAAAATTTTTTTTTAAAAAAAATAGAATCCCTCATTCATTAAACTAAGAAATTTATTAAAATCCCATCTCATTAAAAACTCATAAAATTAGGAATTATACTGTATGAGAATTTTTGAATTATCTATAAATTATATATTTTTTCTATTGTGCTAAATGTGATATTTGTAATAAGTTCGTAAATTGTTAAGAATATTCTTCAAAAAAAAAAAAAAAAAAAAAAAAAAAAAACTATGTTAAGAATATCTTAAACCAAATAATAAGGTATAAAAGAAACCTTTTTTTTCAGAAAAAAAAAAAAAAAAAAAAACTATTGTTAAGAATATCTTAAACCAAATAATAGGTATAAAAGAAACCTTTTTTTCAGATAATGGGCCAACTATTCATAAGGCCCACATTTTGTAATTATGATCATGAAGAGAAGAGGTACCTAAGGCCCATAGGCATGGCATTCACCTATATTTTGATAAAGAGGCTATAAATAAGTGTGCTTCCTCTAGTTATTCTAGGGTTTCTGCAAGTCCTTTTCTTGGTGGGTATTTTATTTTCCTCCTCTTCCTTTTATTTAGGCAGTTATCGTTTCTGTTCTTTATTTTTCAAGCGCCGCCCTTAAGATCGCCTTCCAAATGACAATGGAAGCGTTTTGAGTCATAGCTGCGCAAGATCAATCCATTTTCTTGGGGTTTCTCTTTAGGGTTTTCCTTTAGAGATCTCCATTTTATCCCACCAGAAGTTTCTTCTCGAGCCATTGTTTTATTCTCTGCATCTGTGGTTTTTTCTGTTTATTTGTAAACCCCTGGACGGCTACACTGTCTTTGGCTGTTTTATTTAATTGGAAATACCAGTTCCATTGATGAACCATGAATTGGCTCATTCTTTGGTGGGAAACAAGCAATATGATTTTCTTGATTTATTTTAAATTATAGTTAATTGTGCTTTAAAATGGGATTAATTGAATTTTCTTTTGCTGATTTCAAGTAATAAGAATGGCAAGGATGATGAATCAATTAGATGTGTGAATGGAAATTATCCATATTGAACACAACTTGTGAGGCATATTAGTTGTCTGACTTGCCTATATTATCTTATTTGGTTTAACGTTTATTTGAATAATTAATCATCAAAATGGTGTTAATGGGTTTTAATTATTGATTTGTTTTTTAATAATGTTAATAGATAAATAAATTGGGTATTTGGAATTGGTGGTCGATGATGATAAAACGAAGGCTTGTTTCTCAAAACATTCGCAGTGGCCGCCTAAGAGCTTTCGCCTTCGCCGGCTTGAGAGCTATTGCTGCACTTTTCCTTCCTTGGATGTCTGAGACCTCATAGAAAATATAAATTGTTGAAATTTTCGTCTGAGAGTAATTTTAAAATGATACGGAAATAATTTGAGATTTAAGTAGAAAGAAAAAAAACTAAATAACATAGCAAAACCTAATTATTATTTTTGATCTGGCCTATTCTCTTATTCTTTAAAATTTTCTTGTTAGAATTGTAAATACAAATTAGTGGAGTCATAGTTCCAATGGAATTCTATGTGCTTTCAGATTCCTCCGGCCAGCATGTTTTTACTCAATTGTCATTGTTCTGAGACTTCAGAAACTTTCAAGTCAAAATTCCACAGAATTGACATATGCATATGTTTGATTCAATGGTAATGCCAAAATAAGTTGTGCATAATCTGTTGGCTTTTTTCTTCTCTCTCTCTCTCTCTCTCTCTGGCTCAATGCCTGTTTGGAGTCATAATAATGCTTTTGCAAAATTTAAAGTCCAATAAACCATAGTTTTAAATTTTTCACATAATAAAAAAAGCAGACTAAAAACATATAAAAATAGTAAATGAAAAAAATGAAATCTCATGGAATGGCTTAATGGCCTTTCACCATCTATCCCCCAAAATAAGAGCAAGGAAATCCTTCCCCTGTGGTAAGTTATAATTCTGGTCATACTCGTACTGAGTAAAACCCTACCACAATAGTAGATTAGAGGGATTCTTGATCCTGATTTCTATTCTATGTTAAGCATCTTGCAAGTTGCATATATCAATTGAATAAATAATTCACTAGTCTAATGACACTAAACCAAATATATAACAAAACTATCCAATTCCAACAATCTGATTTGAATGCAACCTTCACCAATTCAGAGTTTGGACCATAGACAATGCATAAACTCCAAAAACTGAATAAAACATTCATATTCAAACATCAATAAAAGAAATTTTATCCACTAAGAACCTAAAAACCGTGACCATGATTTAACCAACAATGGACCGACAATCTGCTTTTCTTCAGGAGTGAAGATAATATATTCTATATAATAAAATATTATAATAGGACTGCAAAAGAATAAAAGCCACCTACAAAAGAACAAATAGCTTGGGAACATGCATCAATGTAATCATCATCCACTCTATAAATACCTTCTACAGAAAACTACATTGTGCTCAATCTCAAACAACTATGGATACAATTTTCCCTTTCTTCTTCGTTCTGATTATCTTAGCCACATTCTTATCAACCCAAGCAGCCCAGACAAACTCTAAGCTCTTTAGGGAGTACATTGGAGCTGAGGGTAAAGGAGTCAAATTCTCAGATGTACCTGTTAATCCCAAAGTTGAATTTCATTTCATTCTATCCTTTGCCATTGATTACACCTCGTCTGCCCATCCTTCTCCAACCAATGGACAATTCAGTGCATACTGGGACACAGAAAACCTTACCCCTTCCAACGTTTCCTCCCTTAAAGCTCGCCATTCGAATGTGAAAGTGGCTATGAGTCTTGGAGGTGACACTATAAACAATCAACATGTATACTTCAAACCCAAGTCAATCAACTCTTGGGTTACTAATGCTATTCATTCCATTATGGAGATAGCAAACAACTATAAATTAGATGGAATCGATATTGATTATGAACATTTCAGTACAGATCCAGATACATTTGCTGAATGCATTGGGCGACTTCTCTTCTACCTTAAAGGACAACGAATTGTGTCATTCGCATCAATAGCACCATATGACAATGATTCTGTACAGCCTTATTACTTGGCTCTATGGAAGAAATACGGACACCTTATAGACTATGTCAACTTTCAGTTTTATGCCTATCCTAAAGGGACAACAATTTCTCAGTTCTTGAAACACTTTGAAGAGCAGAAATCTAATTATAGAGATGGCAAGATCTTAGTAAGCTTCGGAACAGATGATAGTGGGGGCTTGTCTCCTCAAAATGGATTCTTTAGCGCTTGCCGAAATCTTAGACAAGCCAATAAGCTTCATGGCATATTTATATGGTCAGCCGACGACTCTAAGAAGACTGGGTTTCCTTATGAAAAGCAGTCACAGTCCTTTTTGGCCAATGCAAAATGACCTCTCTCTCTTTAATATTGTTGTATTTTGAACTACTCTGTAGGCTGTTCTTGAGGAATTATGAAGATTGAAATGTTCTTTTTGAACTTTTGAATTTGATTTGAAATTTAGGATTTTATAACATTGAACCCAAATTTTTTAGTCGAGGTCAGCTCAGTTATTCACTGAAGTATTCAAATTCCACCCGTGGAAAAACATGCATTAATATGAACCCCTAGATTAGTCTCATTACCACTATTTCCAATTTCTAATTATATTAAAATAAAAAGCTAAAAATGAGCTGCATATAATCTAAAATGGAACAACACTAAAACTATGATTATCAATCAAATATCCCAGAATTCATTGCATGCCTAACAAAAAGGGGAAAAAAAAGAAAAATCTTATCATGTTATCAATCAAGAAACCCAGTTTGGCGAAACACGGCATTCCTCACCTGTCTCAGATCCCTTCCTTTTAGAGTCCTTCCAACTCCTTCCAGCACCGAAAACGTAGTCTTCGGAGACTTTCTCGACCCTCGCGCTACAATCTCGTGAGGCGGCAGCATCTCCTCATCTCCGCCGTCAGAATCACCATCATCTTCCCTAAACTTACTATTCCTCTGCTTCGACATGGCAATTGACAGTAAAGGCACATTCATCGGAGCTGATTGGTTCATCTTCCTTTCAGGCACCGATTGCGATGCATACTCTCTATCACTCTGGGGCGGTCTCGGTATCATCGGAATCGACTTCGATGAGGAAGAAATTGAAGGCTTGCGATAGAGTATAGAGTGATGATTCGACTCCGGCATCGCCGCTAGAATGCCGGAGTGCCGCTGGAAAGATTTCCGGCCATTATTTTCATTGGCGGAGCGCACTAAGCTTTGTTCAGTGAAATCATTTGTCCAGAGGACCTCAACCTCGTTTAGCTCATCGCCGTTTCCATTTTCGTCTTCTGGCGCTGCAGAAGGGGAGGTGTTAAGGAAACGGTGGCGAAAGATGGGATCCATGCGTTATGTCAGCGCGTTTTCTGGTTCTAGTGGAACAATGCAGGAATGGTGGTGCGGCTGGTGGTCGCCGATTCTAGTGGAAGCTGCGTTGAGACGAGTTGAAAATTGGGACCCAGAGGGACGACGGTGTCTTCGCTAATGGGGCTGACGATATTAGAACCTCGTTATTGCTTGGTTTGGGTCTGGCGCTAAAAGAAGTTTGCAATTCTGCATTATAATCTTATCAGAATGAAGGTGGGGTTGTTTTAGCCTATGGTCGGTTCTTGTCTCCGCCTTTTGATACATCTTTAGCAGCCAAAAAGATGGTTCCACGTTCCCATCATCATTATACAAAGTCAATTTTAGAATTTCTCCAATTCTAAAAAGATAAGCTTTGAATTGAGGAAACAAAGAGTATGGGTATTTTGAGTTAATAATTAATATCTCATCTATTGAAAAGCTTGTAATCAAATCCATCCCACAGATTTAGCTTATCTTGGATGGGAACCAACTTTGCAGCCTCATTTGCAGATGCAGAAAAAAGTGGCTTTTCTTTTTAACAAAAGGATAAATCTTTTTTTTTTTTTAAAAAAAAGGACAAATCATTAACATATGTATATATACACGAGATTCAATCTACTTATTATTTGTAACCTTTTAATTTTATATGTCATACTCACTTTTACTAATTATTTATATTTGTTTTTATTTTTTAATATTAAATATTAAATATATTTTTTGTCTTATATTTTTAAATTTTTGTGATGTTAAGACAAAATTTCATATAAAATTAATGTAAATAGAACGGTTAATTAATAAAATAGTTATATGCACGCCTTTAATTCAATTTATACCGTCATTTATTAAAAATTAATTACAACTGTATATTTACAACTTTACGATATCATCTAATAAATGCATTTTAATATATATATAACAATAAAATATTATACATATTTTCAAAATTAAAATTTTAATTGCTCGTCATTTTGAAAGACTTATGTATATTCTATTTAAAAATTTATTTCTGAATAAAGGCATTTTAAATATATATAACAATAAATATTATACATATTTCAAAATTAAATTTTAATTGCTCAGTCATCTTTGAAAGACTTATGGTATATTCTATTTAAAAATTTATTTTTAAAAATATATATTACAATAATATATAAAACATAAAAAATATTTATACAAAATTTTTTTTTTCTTTTTTTTTTTCTCTGTCCCCTAAATGAAATATTTCATATTATAATAAAAAAATTAAATATTTTAAAAATAAAAATATAAAATTTTCCAAATGTGTCATATCATATTATATTTTATTAAAAATAAATTTAAAAAAGATAAACTTTAAAAAATTTTTGAAATGCTTAAATTATTTATATGTATTTATTTTAAAAATATTATTTATATGTATTTATTTTAAAAATAAATTTAATAAATTATATCCAATCAATTAATAAATTATAATTTTCTAACAGGTCATGACTAAAGTTATTTTATAATATTTTCAAATTTCCACATTTATATATATATTAGTTTTTTTTATGACGTGCGTTGCACATTGACTATGCTCGTTATATAGTCATTTTTTATACTCTTTTTTAAATTTTATCTAAATAATATTAAAGCATAAATTTTTGTTTAGAGTTTGATTAATTTGCATTAGACTTTGTCGTATAAGTTACTTATAATACTACTTTTTATCTACTTAATCATGTTTTTATATAATAAAGTGATTTCAAAATAAAGTTCAATTCAATCCATAGATCTAATCTTTCAGTTCTAATTTATAAACATAGATTCTTAAAACTATAAAAGGTGCCCAAAATGAAAATCAAGTTATCAATCAATGTCAAACCCCTGCCCTCAATCCCAAATAAATCTCTATATACAATTATAATGAAAAATAATAATTAATTATTTTTTACTGTTATATAAAAGATAAAAAAAATAAAAAAGATATTCTAAATTGATAATGATAATCACTTTAGCTGTGGTAGAAGTGTGACTTACTCATGCATTAGAGAAAGGAATATATACACATACACAAATTCTTGAAACCCTAAAAGTAATCTAAAACATAAATATATAGTTCTAGTTTTTTTTTTCAGTTTTATAAAAATTGTTTTCTTTCAAGTCAAACATATTTAGAATATAAGACAAAAAAATATCAAGAAAATTAAAAATGCTTAATCATCAAGGAGTCATCTATTTATTGCAAGGGAGATATAAATCTATTAGTGAATTAAAGTGAAGTACAAATTAATCTAGTAATGAAAAAGAAAATAAAAATTATTATTATGAATAAAACTCTTTTCAGAAATCAAAATATAATAACAAACAAGTTACATTAAAAAATTACAAATTTTAATTTAATCAATCCATTCTTCAATTGGAAATGTCTTAATTTAATGAAATTTAATGTTGATGGACAAAAAAAAGGACTAAAGCCAAATCAATAAATATAAATTATAAAGCAAAATTATGCTAAGATCCAATATTGATCAATTAATAAATTTATTTAAGTATTTTATTTCTCTATTATTCTAAGTTATAAATTTAAAATAAATAATTAAGTTAATTAATTAATAACAAAAATTACATAAAAGAAACATTCTATCTTCTACAAATAAACCCTCAATTTTTCCTACAACCATATAAAAAATTATATTTTTTTTCTCTCTCCTAAATAAGATATTATGTATATTCTATTTGAAAATTTACTTTTTAAAAATATATATAATAAAATCATAAATATATAAAGGAAAAAGAATATTAAAAATATATTATTATTTTCTTTTTTATATCTTTCCTAAATAAAATATTTTAAATTATAATCAAAATAATAAAAAATTTAAAAAATAAAATATAAAAACTTTCAAATGTCTCGTTATCATATATATTTATTAAAAAATAAATTAAAAAAAGATAACACTTAAAATTTTGAAATTTTTTGACGTATTGAATACTTCAACTTATAAAATTGTACCTATATAAAATCTGTACCTATTAAACATTTTTAATTGACTCTACTTAATCACTTCAACTTATAAAATTAGATGATTAAACACTTATTATATAGTTGAAAAAAATTAAACACTTATTATATAGTTGAAAAATATAAAAATTTGCTTAACAGATTCTTCAGATAAAGGGAAAAACTTATTTGTTTCTATCTTTTCCCTGCAAAAATTCACGGGTAAGAAAATCAAGTATAGAGTTAAAAGTACCTTTAATAGTTTTTACCTTAAAATCGAAACACGATAAAATGGCTTGCCATCTAACAAAAATTTGCTTTGAGAACAATATTTTTAACATCCTTTTCTAAAATATTATTTGAAGATTAATTATTAGAGATAAGATATAGAAATCTACTAGTTAAGCCGTTAGTAATCGTGATTACGAAACTATTGAATTATTGTTGGTCAATCGATGTAAGCGCTGATCAGCCGTGTGATTGGTGGTCCTGCAAAGGTGGTCCCAATAATCAAAGTCTCTAGTTATGATTATTAATTGCAAAATGAGTAGATTACTAAATCTTCTTTCTAATAATAAGTCTTTAAACATTAATGACCCTAATTCTAGTCTTAGTGATCTGAATACTAAGAAATGAATATCGCTCATGTAGAGAATCAGCTACATAACTGGTCTATCCCAAAACATGATGTTAATACTATCTATAAAATTGGTTCATTTGATTTTCTTTCTGATTATTCAATTAAACAGACCGAACAATCTGTTCCATTAAGCTATATGCATGAAAATATTTAATTATTTTCTCCCCAAGCTATTATGAAGCACAAAGAAAAATATAAATTTTTGCATATAGAAAGTTGCAATTAAACCTTTATTTCGAGTTGGTTTAGATATTCCTGTTTTTGCATGTTTACGAGATGCAAGACATTTGAATTTTTCAAATTCTCTTTTAGCTCTTTTAGCTATGTTCAAATTCTCTTTTAGCTATGATTGAATCCAATTTAGCTAATGATGCTATCTATTTTAATTGTTATCCAAACTTTTCTTTGTCTCTTTATGATCCAAATATTTTAGATGCTTTAACTTTAACAATTAAATCTAAAATATGAATTTTCAGATAATACTAGATCTATAGTAGTTATATATAGAATTTACTACAAAGTTATGGCAACTACCCTAGATCCTAGATCTAAACCCACTTTAACTATGAATGAAACAATTATGAAGTTAATACCCAACATACAAAAGCACACACATCTAAAAGGTTAAAATGGCATGAATTAATCCAAGGAAATTCATGGGATCTCCAAGAAATTGATCATTCAGTATCTGTTGAAAATATTTCTACTTCTTCTAGTATTATAAAAGATACCGATGGAAGTATTCATGTTCAATTTCTTCCCTTATAAAATCCTACTAGACAAGTATTTAGTTGCGAAAACACTAGATTATCTACATCTACCCAAACTCCAAATATTCAATTACAAAGTGTAGATTTTAATAGATCTATACTTAGGCCATATATTAAGAAGTAGAATAACCAGTTAACTCTTTACCTTCCTCTCCTGCGAGATCTTTATCTCCTACAAGATCCTCTATGGAACCCTGCGAGATCTTTATCTCCTACAAGATCCTCTATGGAACATATATCTCAATTAAATGTTATTAGTGAAAATGAATTTTAAATTAATAAAGAATTTCTTAGGAAAGAAATAACCAGTGATTATAATTTAGATAAGTGTCATTGGTTTTTTAAAAATCATTCGAAAGAAAAAAGAGATCAAATTAGAGAATCATGTTATGGTTATATGAATCAGTATAAAGTTAATATTCCTTTCTTCCAATGGTTTTCTATTTATTCTATTGAGAATAATATAGAATACCCTTTTCAAGAAGTCTTAGTGAAACATCTCGAATTTTTATTTTCGTTTTTATTAAATTAAAAATCTCGATTTTCAACTATATGGGCTATAAATACCAAACAATTTCAATTCGAGCCCAAGTTTACGGAGTCGGGCTCAAGCCCAAAGCATATTATTAAATATTTGCCAAGTGGAGAACCTTTAGAAATTTTTTTAAGAGTAAATATGGAGCACTAATTATTAAATTATTAAAAATGTGTATGTATATGTGTGTGATTACTATATATAAATTAATTTTCCTAAAATTCAAATATGATTACTAACTATATTTTTTTATTTTTATTTAGTTAATGGAGGAAATGTTATGAAACCTAATTAAAATAATTAAAATAAATTGAACCGGACCCGAAACTCAAATTGATTTTTCGAAAACCAAACCACACGAATAACCTAAAACCAAGTTGAAAAAAACCTGCAAACCGAGCAAAAATTGGGGAGAATCATTAAAATTAGACCAAAAACCGGTTCGAATCGAACCGGAATGGTCTAGAAGCCCCCAAGATTTTTTTTCTCTTTTCCTTCTTTTTTCTTCTTCCTCTTCTTCTTCTTCTTCCTTTCCACTCCAGCGTTGACCTCACCTTGCCCTCTCC